GGTTAACACCTCTTCTCTCCACTCTGGCTTCGCGTCAGTGCTTCCAGGCCACCTTCCAGGAACTCGGCTCTTCTTTCCTATTATCTTTATGTCTCCCATGCAAGGCTCTAGGTGATGTCCTCAAGCCTATTTTCTAGTTTGCTCCGTCTCTCTCCAGCTCCGTCTAGCCCACTTTACAGAGACCACACGGAAGCCAGTTCTAATCATGGTTCTAGCTCTTCAGTTTGATTTTAACCTCTTTTTCATACCAGCTTACGTTTGGAGTTCCTTTCCTTTTAAAAGGAAATTCATTCAATAATCTTAAGCATGCCCCCTGACCATGCCGCCTGCTGTTCCCAGTGTGTGGCTAGCTCATTCTTGAGTTGCCCTACCTTCTCGCCCCTGAGGTTTCTTTATTTGGGCTGTGACCCTATATTCTAAGCTTATCTAGAGTAGGTGCTCATCTATGGAGGGGGTGGCCCCTGCCCTGGGCATCAGAGGCTCTGTCCCCCAGAGCCTTGGTTGCTGAGGGTCCTGTTCACAGATCTTACCCTGTAGTTGCTCCTCAGTGCCCAGGTGGTAGGCACGCAGAGCTGGCCCCTGCACCTGTGGTGAGTGTTTCTGTGGGAGAGTCATGCTCAACCCATAGCTCAGGGCGAGGGATGAACTGCTGCTACACTTTCCTGGCCAGTGGTTTTCTGTTTGTCTCCTCACACACGGGGAGGTTCGCTGACCACATCTAACTACGGGGCTCAGGCGGGGTGCCTCCCTCCACCGCCTGGGCTCACGGGGCCACCGCGTCCCTGGGGCTGCAGCGTGCTGCACCAGCCTGGTTCCTTCTGGACTGGGTTTCTCAGCCTGGCTCAGGTCCCTTCCTGGGGCTGGGTTCTTTCCTTCTCTCATTCAAGCTCAGCGATGCAGTGAGGTGAACGTCGCTGTGCCACACAGCAGCACGTTCACGGGTGTTTAATGGGAAGGACAGTTCCTGCATCCACTCAGACCTCCACCTCTCCACGGCCCGCCACCCTGGACTTTCAGGACACTAAAACAGGGACAACTCTGGGGCCCCGGGAGACCAGCTGCATGGCTTTGCAGCTCCCACGTGACACTGGTTTCTCTGGAAGCCTGGCCATGCCGAGAACTTTGTGGTGAGGGTCAGCTTCCCCTCCCCGTTGAAGAGTGGCCTTCAAGAAGGCATCCCTGTCCAAAGCACACGATTCAAAGGCACACATGTCTCATGGGGGGAGTGTGCAGCAGTCACCCCTGTGTCTCCAGAGAGGGGGAAAGAGGGAGGCTGTGGGGGGAGAAGGGCAGCCACTTCCACTGCTCCAAAGCAGCCTCGACACCGAATCCGGACGTGACTTATCAAGATGACTCTTACACAGGCACAAAAAACAAAGAGGAGTCTCCCACTGTCCAGAGTCACTGTGGGGAGAACCTCCGGTTTCTCATGTTAAAAAGTCAAGAATAAGAGTCTGCTTAGGGGCTGGCGATGTGGCTCAAGCAGTAACACGCTCGCCTGGCATGTGCGGGGCGCTGGGTTTGATCCTCAGCACCACATAAAATAAAATAAAGATGTCGTGTGTCCCGAAAACTGAAAAGTAAATATTAAAAACTCTCTCTGTCTCTCTCTCCCTCTCCAAAAAAAAAAAAAAAAAAGATTCTGCTTAGCACAGGAACCCCCTGCTACTTCCTAACCGTGCACAGTGAAGGGGGAAGAGGTACTTCTGTTTCTTTCTTTCCATGCTAAATATAAGATTCCATCAAAAATTCCCAGAGCAGCAGGTGATTTGTGTGTTTTTAAAGGATTGAAATAAATATAAAACAAAATAAAAATAGATTTAGATGGGTAAAGTTTACCTTAAGCTTTTAAAGATTGTTTTAAAAACCTGCATTTTGCTTTTGGCTGGAGTTTCTACCAACGTTTCCCGAGTAGCCCAGTGTGTGTGGATGCCACCACAAGTAGCCCACTTCTCCCTGGAGTCACAGTCTCAGGCATCTACTTCTGAGCACTCGTAAGCTGAAATGCGTCCCAGTGACCTTGCCACTACTCCTGCATGCCAAGCGGGCGTCCTAACAGCGCGTCTCTTAGTTTCACTTCGGCTAAGCAGCATGGGTCTGAGCCGCTGTCTGCACACTGGAGAGGAGTGTGGTAAGTGCTAGCCTCCATCATCATTACCCATCTTCCACATTACAACATCTATTTGCTGGGAGGGAAAATTAACCATAAAACGTAGGCAAAGACACGTCCATGAGCCGGCATCTGCGGCCCTGCCAAATACCTGTATTTTTGTCCCGTAGTCTTACTAATACGCAAAAGGTAGCTATCATGCACCTGTCAATGAAGTTTGAAAATTATTTCACTCTTAAATAATCTCTCTGCATCAAATTGACAGATGGTACAGGAATTTTTGCTGTGCTGAGACAAACTAACAGTAGTTCTCTTGTTATATGGCCAGTAAATTCACTGTTTAAAATTAACAGGAAAAGCAAGGAAAATGATACGAATTGAGGCATCTCAGAGTTAAATTGGCAAGTTATTAGAACAACTGAAATTGTTCTTAGTAATCTTATTTATCTGTTTTAAGATGGGTCTCTGCAGCAGTGGTGGGTCTGCACACAACTAAAAGACCCCCGCACTTCAGGTGGACCCACACCTCCAGGACTCACAGCTGGGTGACCTCTGTATTTTGAATCAAAAGAAAGACGCCCGTAAATAGCAGCAGATCCAAAAGCATCACCCCTCATAGAAACAGTCCTCCAGGTCTCAGGAGCTTGCAGTATAGACGGGCAATGGTTTGCTTGTATGTGGAAGTTCCTGTCTACCCTTTATAACGCTTAGAACTTGGGGTACCCTGAAAACCAGGACCTGCCACTCTAGGGCTACAGCTGTAGGATTCTGAGGCCTCTGGGGTCCTATAAATGGCCCTTCTTGACTCATTTGCTCCACAGGCATTATTCTCTGGGACAATGCCGATCATCCAATCTTCACTGAGGAACTCTCTCCACCCACCCTGCAAGGCACAAGGCTGCTAACAGCTTCAAACATGGGGGACAAACGCTGGTGCTCAACTCGGGACCTCAGGAGCTGCTCAGTGTCCAGGCCTGGCCCTGACCCCTCCTGCACAGAGGGTCTGTGAGCTAGCTAAGAGGTGCTGCCGAAGCAATGACTGAACCAAAGCAGATTCCATATTCCGCTCCCTGCACCCAGCCAGCTCTCAGACTGATTCCTTAAATGATTTAAAACGTATGAATATTCATCTGACAGTGAGTTTCAAAGACAAGGCAGAGCGAGGCAGCCCTTCGTGGCTGTCTGATCTAGAGCAATTCTGCCCGCATATCTGAGCCCCAGGAGGCCCCAGGGCACGTGTCACCTCAGGGAGCAGGGGAGGCAGGAGCAGCCAGCCCACTGCCCTCATTCCATGCCCCACAGACCCCCACCTCAGCCGGACGGTCCTCCTTGCCCCACGGTCTCCTCTGGCCAGGCAGCCGGGCTCCTTCTCCGGGGATTCGATGCATCCTCTAGGGCAGTGATGGCCACCCAGGGTCCCTGTGAGGCACTGCTGAGGTGGGTGGTGTGCAGATTAAACCAGGGCAGGGGACAGGCGCCCCAGGCCACCAGGTGGGCATGCTGCTGGGATGACTCAGGTGTGGGGCTGGGAACCTGGAGCAGAGCCACCCACTCCTCTGGGTACCAGTACACTGCAGCATCTCGGGTCAGCCCAGGAGACCGGTGGACTTGGGCTCCACATGACTGCCCAGAACCTTCACAGAAATGGCCCCACACCCACCGTGGTGAGTGCCCCGCGGCCTGCAACCCCCGCCTCAGCATGATTCACCACACTTCACTGCCACCCAACAGCACTGAGCCACGTGCAGTGGGGGACGATCCGCGTAGCAGTTATCAGGAGCAGCAGATGGGACCGGCCTGAGGACACATGTCCACTTCTCCAGCACAGGAGCACCCGGAGCTTCCCACAGGGCATGGACAGCCAGGCAGGAGGCCCAGCCGGCACACGCTCCTGAGTGGGAAAGACAGGAGCAGCCATGGGGCAGACACCGAAGGACACAGACAGTGGGGGACCTCACAGCTCACATCTGCCTTGGCACCCCCAGGACCCATGCCCCCACCCACAGTCCCCATTCTGAGAAGCCCTGAGTCCAGCCACAGAGGCTTTGTGCAAAAGAGAAGCTCGCGACATTAAGGTGTGGGCTACTGACTCCACCCAGTTACCTCCCAGGTGAGGAAACCACGTGTGGTAGAATTTCCAAGTTAGTCTGCATTCTCTTTTTTCTCATTTTCGGGTAAGATCTAGGTGGCTCCAAGCTGCACTGAGCAAACTAGTCCCCGGAGCCGTTCTGCGGGAGCTTGGGCACCCGCAGGCAGGCCGGGCCAGGCTGTCTCCCCAGGCCCTGGGACTGCCTGTTTCCAAACCCGTTGGCCTCTTTTTGCTGAGAGCAGACTCAGAACCAGAACCCAGCTTAACTGGAGTCACCGCCCTGGGGCAAGAGTTTGCATATTCCTTCGTGCCCCAATCCTGCATTGAAACCCTGCAGTCTGGCTTTTGCTATCTTGGAACATAGCTAACAAATGGTCAGTTCAAAGACCCACTTTCAAGTGTGCCCTGGACACTCCAGACTCCGGCTGGAGTTCAAACTCCGTCAACGGCCAGGGACGGCCAGCAATGGCCACATGCCACTCGGTTCCAAACGCCAATGTCCCTGGCACCTTCAGTAATATATTTAAAGCCAATAAATATGTTTTGATATCTATTATTTGTAGAAACATGGCCAAAATTTGCAAATCAAAAACAGAGAAAGAAAGAAAAGAAGGGATTGCTGTTGGCTGTGGCACTGGTGCTTCCCCGCCCAGCGCTCAGGGCCTTACCTGACTTCACTCAGTTTCCATCAACACCACAAAGAACACCCTTCTCTAAGGAGCCCCAGCTTCCGTCCACACCCATGCAGCCTCACCCCCGGGCGTCCCCACCTGAGCAGGTGGACAGGGCAGGAGTACTCACCTTCCGGCTCCCCGCAGAGGGTGCACTGCGACTCTGCAACAGAACAGAGAGAAGGGTCACTCCCGGAGCGCAGCCTCAGGGCCCATCACACGCACAGCCACACGCCGCAGCTCCACGGACGGGGAGCAGCTGGCCACGCCAGAGTCTGCAGACCTCGGCAGACACAGCCATCCCGCCCTCGCACTTCAGCAGGCTTTCCCCAGAACCACCCGACAGATGTCTTCTGTGTTACATTGCATTAAAGTAATGACCTCACCCTACCACAGGCACAGGCCCCGTCAGATACACTGCCGTCCCTGCGCCCGGCTCAGCACACTCAAGCTACTTGACGGAAAAAGAATGGTCTATTTCACCATTTAATTTCAATATTTAAATTTTACTTCCTAAAACTCTGTTGAATCTCCTTTCAGACACATGAATTATGAGCAAAGGTAAAACGTATTTTGGTAGAAACACTAAAATCTACAATATGGGTGGAAGCTTCCACAAAGAGGCCCTTGGCTTCACGTTCGGCTCCACAGAACCAAGGAAGGTGCCGGCACCGTGACCTTGATCCTCAGGCTGTGAGACACAAGGGCACAGAGGTGGGAGGGAGGCAGGATCTGGCCACTGTTGCCTCTCCTGTGGGACTCTGGGGCAGGGGACCCTGCAGCCCTGACCCAGGCACAGTGATGTTCCCCGCAGGGCTGGGAGGAATCAAGGAGCCCGTGTGTCCACTGTGACGGCAGCTGGGACGGTCCTGGCCACACTGAAGACCCCTGCTCCCCCGGGCAGGTCCTACCCTCATCGGGGTCCTGGAGAGCAGGGTCAGGCAGCCCAAAGGGTCAGCAGGGCACAGCAGAGATGGCACAGCAGTGAAACTCCAGGAGGCACGGCCCGCGCTGCAGTCACACCCTCCCTGCAGAGCTCACCTGGGAGCTGCCGTCCGGCCAGTGAGCTGGGGTTTCCCAGAGGTGGGAGAACGCACCAGGGGACGGAGCC